CAGACAGCTTATGTTGGAGAGGATGTGGAGCAAGGGAAACACTCCTCCACTGTTGGTGGGAATGCAAACTTGTACAGCCACTTTGGAAATCAGTATGGCAGTTTCTCAGAAAATTGGGAATCATTCTTCCTCAAGACCCAGTTATACCACTCTTGGGCATATACCCAAGGAATTCTCAATCATACCACAAGGACACATGCTTAGCTATGTTCATATCAGCATTATTCATAATAGCCAGAACTTGGAAACAACCTAGATGCCCCTGAACTGAAGAATGAATAAAGAAAATGTGGCACATATACACAATGGAGTACTACTCAGCAGTAAAATCGATGATACCTTGAAATTTGCAGTCAAATGGATTGAACTAGAAATTATCATCTTGAATGAGGTAACCCAGACTCAGAAGGACAAACATAGTATGTACTCACTCATTAGTGGATACTAGATATGAGGGAAGGGATAGCCAGACTGCAGCCCTAACTTCAGAGAGGCTAGCTAACAGGGAAAGACACTAGGGGGGACACATGGATGACCCTGTGAAGGAAAAGTGGATGAGATCTACATAAGCAGACTGGGTGAGGGGGGTGGCAGAGGGCAAGGAGTGGGGGATGGAACATCGGAAAATGGGAAAGCTGAGCTGGAACAGGGACAGAGTGGGAGGGCAGGGAGGGAGATATCATGATAGATGAAAACAATATGGGAATAGGAAGAGGCAGGATTCTGGGGAAGCTCTGAGAAATCCACAATAATGACCCCACCTTGGTCTGCTGGCAATGGTCCAGAGGGTGCCTAGACTAGTCTACTCTAGTGACTGGTCTAGAAAATAACCTAGCTGTCATCATAGAGCCTTTGTCCAGTGACTAATGGAGGCAGATGTAGAGACCCATGGCCAGGCACCAGGCTGAGCTCCAGGAATCCAACTGATGAGAGAAAGGAGGGATTCTGCAGGCGGGGATGTTGAGATCATGATGGGAGGATGTGCAGAGATGACCGGCTACACTAGTGGAAGCCCATGAACTGTGGATTGGTGGCTGTGGAGACCCCATGGGGCTGGATTAGGCCCTCTGGATATGGAAGACAGTTGTTTGGCTCGAACTGTTTGGGGTGCACCCAGGCAGGGGGATCGGGATCTGTCCCTTGTCTATGGGCAGGCTTCTGGGAAGCCGTTGCCTGTGGTGTGACACCTCACACAGCCTTGGTGCAGTGGGAAGGGGCTTGGACCTGCCTAGGCTCAGTGTGCTGGCCTTTGCTGACTCCCCATGGGAGACCTCAATTTGGGGGATGTGGGGATGTGGGGCAGCTTGAGAAAGAGAACTGGGCAGGGTGGGGAAGGAAGATGGAGATCTGTGGATGGCAGATGAAGTGAGTAGAAAATTTCTTAATAAAGAAAAAAAGAAACTCATTGTCCTACATTATGTTTTTACATACATGTTCTTTGCTCGGTGACTACACGGTTATTGTTTTGAGGGGATATCTCATAAAATCAACTTTCTCCATATATGAAGAATATAATATCATATTAAATGTGGTCAAAATTCCTACAACTCACTGTTTGAATAATACTTCCAGTATAAATGTTTAGACATCACTCTATAGCGTGTAACCCATGGTCAATTTTTCCTCAGTGGTAGTTAACCTGAAGTCAGTTTTTTCAGTTTCCACTTGATATGATATCCTTTTCTTCTCTTGGTGCCTGACCATCACTCATAAAATGCCTTTCAGGTTCACCTAAAATATGCCATTGAGTCCAGCTCCACAGATACAACAGGGTTCATAGAATAAACCACAGCATAGTGAAATCTAATCTAGAATTTTCTTATCTGAGGGGGATTTCTAGAGCATCAGACTTTTTTAATCTGATGGTCTTTACAAATAAGTTTCTATCTATCTGAAAGGGAAAGATTCATACACATTCTAAGGGTCGTTTTCTTTTAATCTTCCTCAGCTCTGATTCTACAGCTTCTTTTCAGCTCATTTTTTCCTAGCTCCTCTTCCCTACACAGCTAAACACATCTTTCTAGCAGGAGACTCTTTGTCATAATAAGAAAAGTTACAAAGCCCTCTCAAGTTCAAATGCACATGCCTTGAGAGGATAAGGTGCAAAGCCATTTACCACAGCGACACATAGGGAGGGACAAGGTGCTTGGCACTTTCACAGCCTGTGACATCCACAGTCAGCTGGACAAAAAACTTTTTTCTTTGGACTTGGTTAATTGATTAGTTGTTATTTGAGACCTAAGTAAATAAACATTTAGTTAATTGAAACTTGAGTTTTATATCATAAACTGAGGTTAGAACATTTGTACAAATAATTATTGCTAAAGGGTCAGAGCAGGTGAATTCTGTGAATACATTATCAGCGGCCAGCAGAGGAAGCACAGGGCAATTCAGTCTCTGAAGGACCTTGAATCAACAAAGTGAGACACTTTGTAATTTCATCCTTGTGTCTAATCTGTGAAAGTCCTACTTGTGATCTATCCACAGAGACTCTTGTCTGGCCAAATTGCCCTGTCAGTAAGCTAATTATAGAGAACAGGCTTCTAAGTTTCTTACTGTAGTGTGGAACAAAGGCTGTACTGTGAGAGTTGTTTTATATGCCAGAATAACACAGGGTAAGGAGGAGTTATTCTCCTGACCATGCACAAATACATGTGCCCACAAGACTGAGCTGTAATCATGAGATTACATCTAAACATTTCATGACAATGCATGATAAGGGGGAGATACCAGCTGTATTTGCACATGTGAAATTACAGATAGGAGCAACCAGTCATTTTCAGTCAGTGACTCCATGGTCTTACCAAGTGGGGCTCCCCATCAGAGAGTTATTCGCCTGGTGGGTCAACCTGCTGAACACTAGTTGTCACCTGATGGTGACATCCTCTGGTAAAGCCATTGCTACTAGCAGCTCTCTACATTCATCCAGCTCACAGTGATATTTACACCATTGTGAACAAAGCTGCAGCAAATATGATAGGGAAGGTCATGGTCCCTCTTACCGGCACTGAAGAAACATCTCAGTGATTCAGAGAGCATTCTGTTCCTGCAGGGAATGGGGTTCAGTTTTTGACACCCACAATTGTCAGCTCCACCTGTAAGTCTGGAGGACCCAGTACCCTTTCTTGGCCTCCATAAATACTGTTCTACCTACCATGAGCACTAGACTACCTAAACAGAAACATGCAAATTGTTACAAATAAAACATGTCATTAAAACTTGCTCCCCGGTGCTTGGAAGTAGTTCTTGTGTAGTATATATACTGGAGGACGACAGCTACATTGGTTGTGGTTGCCTGTGCAGAGACTGGTGCAAAGTGGATGAGCTTTGAGACTACAGCATAATTAGAACCTTGCTGCTGCAGGCAGCGCTTGCACTGTCTGCCTGGAGGTTCTTGCTGCCTCTGCCATCAGCTCTGCACTGGGTGAGCCCTGTGGGAGTGTTAACTGGCCACAGAGTCAGGCAGGACCAGTGTGACTGCCAGGGAATGGGCCCAGAGGAAGCTGGGTGCCTAGGCTGCCCTGCTGAAGTCAGTCAAGGGATGCTCTTCTGGATGGTTCTGCATATTTCTGTCTTTCTGTGGACTGACTGGAGGTTTTTCTGCCTGGAAAACAAGACAGCTTCTGTAATCTCAGAGGTGCCCTGATAAGGCCAAGAATACAGTAAGAGGATGCTCCAGCGGTTCCATGGGGATCACTGATTAATGGTAGTTGTTTATGGGGCTTGTTGGGGATAATTAATAAATTATATTTCATCTCATAACACTATAGTACCTGTGGCCATCTTAGATGAGTGAATTAAAGATTCTTGAGGCTGCAGTGTAGGAAACAAGGAGGCATATTAGAGACTGAGAGAGGGTACTTGGAGTGATGTGACATGCCTCAGCTTCTGCTTGCCCACTCCTCTTCTATAGTATGGAAGCAGAGGAAAAACAATCAAAATGCCTGCTTAAGGAGGATTGATTCGGGACCACGGCTCAACAGAGAAACCATTTAGGTAGGGGTTTGTGGCTGTGGAACAGGCAGAGCCTGAATCACTGAGAAGACATCAGGGTCTGGAGGACCAGAGCCTACGTGGGGCAGCGGAAGATGA